ACTCGAAATTCTCTATTGATTGCTCTCCACTAGGACCCATCGTTGCGGTGTCTCAACATATTGTCTACCTTACGATCTTCTTTGTGGCATCACAACAACTTTGCATGGTCTTTGTTTCTGAATAGACGTTTCAAGCATGGTATTATAGGAGCATACCACATAATCTTGGTAGGGATTTTCTTCATGGGACGTTCGCCCTCAACATCACTAGGGTCATCTCGCCTGATCTTATACCGCGATGCATGACATACCGGGCATGCATCTAACTTCTTGTACTCCTCGCCACGATAGAGGATGCAGTCATTAGGACATGCATGTATCTTCTGAATTTCTAATCCCAAAGGGCAGACTACTTGTTTTGCTTCGTACATAGTGGCGGGCAATTTGTTATCCTTCGGAAGCATCTTCTTTTAGATTTTTAGTAACTCCCCAAATCCCTTGTCAGATACACCATTCTTTGCCTTCCATTGCAGCAATTCCAGTGTGGTACCCAATTTTTTCTGCCCCGCATCACAAGTTGGGTATAGCAATTTCTTGTGATCCTCTAGCATGTGCTCGAACTTGATCTTCTCCTTTTCACTTTGGCATTCTCTTTGTGCGTCACGAATGGCCTGACCAAGATCATCAGCGGGCTCATCTTCTGCCCCTACCTCTTCTTTAGCTTCCCCCATTGCAGTATCATTAAAGGCACCATATTCAGCAATAATGTCATCATCGTCCCATTGTTCTTCTTCACCTTCTTCCATTACAACCCCGGTTTCTCCGTGCTTTATCCAACAAATATAGTTTGGTATGAAACCCGACTTCAACAAGTGTGAATGAAGACTCCTTGAGTTAGCATATTCCTTCAAATTCTTACATATGGCACATGGGCAGCACATGAAACCATCGTGTTTGTTTGCCTCGGCCACACGTAAGAAAGAATGCACACCCTCAATGAACTCTTGGGAGTGGCGATCAGCATTGTACATCCAATGCCGGCTCATCTGCATTATATGACATACATACCATATTAAAACCTAGAACATAATTAGTTAATTATACGACATGCATGCCACAACACAAGGTATTAATTTATGAAAGTATCGCTACAATGTAGACAATCCCAACTACCACTAAAAAAACTAAAGCTAAAATGCACTTTAGCAGCATAAGGATTTCGCGACCAATCCCAACTAAAACAGACAGATCATGCGTTTGTTCAACATCTATGGGCTTCTTCCGTAGGATCACTGCCTCATTAGCCGCCGTAGCCGCCTTATGCAAGAGAGTTTTGCATGTGTTCAACATAGTCTTCCTCCCAGTACCAGCCTGAACATCCAGTGCCATCCCACTGAAATTAAAACAAAAAATTAGAACTCTAATCATAATCATCATAAAAATAAGTATAAATTAACCATAGTCATCAAATGCGACAAAATAACTCACATTGCGATCCGGACACTTGTAGAAGATATGGCCCTTGTTCGGACACTCCTTCCTCACCCGGTACTCCATCACAATCTTCTCCTCACACTTGTCATATGCAATGAGAGGGAGGTCCGGCCTCAGTTGCTTTGAAACCCGATGAGAGGCCGAGGACCCGGAAGCAGTTGCCATCTACTCTCTATACTCATTTTTAATATAATATAAATTTCTCATTTTATAAACAAATAAAATTAAAAAACTCTAAAATTCTCTATATCTCTAAACCATGAAGTGTGCTATGCATGCTAGAAATGAAAGCTGAATACTAGTTTTGAATAACTACTTTAACCTTCCTTCATCCAAATATGTAAACTTTAAAGTGATTTTGAGCTTAAATGGCTTACAAATAAAAAAAATATATCATAAAAAACCATATATATCTAGTCCACAAAATAAGATATGCTAATAATGAAACATGAGAATATAAAGTTGATAACCTTTAGAACCAAAGAATCGATGGAGGAATCGAAGAAATCTTGTGATTACCGGCGATGAGAAAGAAGAGAGGCCGGCGATATGAAGCAAGAACACTGAGCTCGAAATGGCTCGGGCTCGGGGAGGAAGAAGGGGTATATAGGAGGGGACCTTTAGTTCCGGTTGGAGACAGCAACCGGGACTAAAGGTCACTTTCTAGTTCCGGACGGAGCCTCCAGACGGCAGTAGACTTTTACTCCTGGTTGGAGGGACCAACCGGAAGTAAAAGTTAACCTTTAGTCTCGGTTGGTAGCTTCAACCAAGACTAAAGGTCCCTCTGTAACAAAAGCCTGCCGCAGGAGCCGTTGGGTAGGGACCTTTAGTCCCGGTTGAAGGTTGGAGCTACCAACCGGGAGTAAAAATTTCTCTAGTCCCGAACACGAAAAATATTGGGACTAAAGCCAAATTTCAAAGTGGATCAAATGTCGTTTCTCTGCTAGTGGATAATCAATTAATGGGCCACATAGCTAGTATACAATATATATAAACCACCAGATTTTTTTTATAATAATATAAGCTTGTATACGCATACACACCAAAGACCTAGCTATATTTATAGAAAGAAATAAGTGGCCAGCACAGGTAGCGCTTTCGGTTGGTGGATGGTAAGCATCATATTTTTTTGTCTTGTCTCATACGTGGCACGTACTATAAAGCTGCATTGTAAATGTAATGTAACCGACGTTGAATTATAATCGGAGAAAGGAAGAAGGAAGGTGTACGATTCGTTGCCCTTCATTTTCCGGCCCATTTTTGTCAAAAGAAAAAAGAGAGAGTGACAGTGGTGTAACATGCTTAGGGTTAATTTGCATGCATCGTACGATTGCACGTGCGGCGCTTGCACCTAAAAATCGAAGTCGTCGACATCGCGCTAGCTGCTCCCTCCTCCACTCGCTTTCCCACATAAACAAAACTCATCACGAATCACGATCGCGCGCTGATGATGCTCGTCGTGTCACCATCGGGCGGGCGACGACAACTACTACACAGCGCGCTGATGATCGGCTTATGTATGTGGCTGGTTGCCGCTGGTAACAGGGACATCACGATGACTCCTCTCGTGGGCTCCCTTTGCTTTTGGCCCATGTGCATGATGCCCACAGGCAAGATTTAATAGCAATATAACTCTTCTAGCAACGATATTATAGCTACATATGAAGTTGGTGGCAATAGAACCTCAATAGATGCAATGAATGACTCTTTCAATGCAATACAATAAGATCTTTCACAACGCATGGCATTATGCAGGCAACATAATTTCATCGTGGTTATATTCACAACTACTTGCAACCAATCATTTTTTGGATGCAATATAGATCTCATTTATCACAACGCAGGTCAAAATTAAGACAACATAATTACTTCGTGGCCATATGCGCCACTACTTGCAAGAAACTTTATAATGGTGGCAACAACACCTAGCTATCGCAACACAACATCAATATTATCATAACTCAACACTAGCTGTGGCAGTAGACACCCATACTCGCAACAGCCTTTTTCATCATGGCATTAGCGCCTACCTCATGCAACAGAGTGTACGACTAATGCAACACATACTTTTTGTGGCGATAAGGCCTATATATCGCTACCGATTATGATGTTGGTTGCCATAGAAGCACATATTGCAACCAAATGTGTGGTGTTGCGAAAACAAGTGGTGCTAAAAAGGGTCAAATCTTGTAGTGCCATAAATGCAAAGAAAATGTACTTTTTTGAGATTACAATGCAAAAAATATAATAATAATCTATAAAAAGTATAAAATCACATTTTGTTCACTTCTCTATATTTAGAGTAACATAAATAAATCTCAGTTTCTTTAAAACTATAAAAAAATACTTATTTAGTGTTTTCTATTTAACCGAAAATAGGTATAGGTATTCAGGGTATATATTATTTAGCGTTTTGGGTTTTCTAGATACGGTGTTTTTACGATGCATCTAGACATAGTGTATATTTGTATATAACAAAAGTTTTGTATGTAGAAAAATCAAAATGTCATACAATTTGGAATGAAGTACCATATATAGCTAGCTTTGATACATGTATATATTGCTGAAAGTAAACTTAAAATAGCACTTGTGTTAAGCATTACAAGTAGTGAATAACACTGGCAGTAAGCCCCAAATTAATTTCGGGGAATATGATTCATCAATCGAGCGACGGATGCCTTGTGCATCAGTTAGTGGCATTGGTAGTTGGGTTATATGGCTACGCACCGCCGCTTCATTAGACATACTAAGATATGTATTTCATAGTCTACCAAGAGATATCAATCCTATCTAAGATCGATCGGTTCAGATATAAGTATAATTGTATACTAATTTTTGTGCAGCTAGAAGATATCCATATCTCTATCCCAAACATATATATATATATATATATATATAACAACAAATAAAAAATATTAAAAGAGCATACCTTCGGATAGTACAAATATGCACTTGATGTGGTTTGAGCCTTTGTATATGCCATATACATCCAGAAGTTATCCTCTCATAGCTAGACCTCAGAAAAACGAAACTGTAGCAATATTCTCGTCTTCATGGCATCGTCAATCAAGATAAGACATGGCTAAAAGTACTGTTGATTGATTTGTTGTGAGTGAAAAATATTGTTTGTTGGCTGAAAAAGTATGACTTATAAGCCAAACGAACATGGCGTAGGATTGTGTACTGTTGACTGATGATGCTCGTCGTGCCATTTCTGATCCGACGCAACCAGCGTCACGCAACCGAGCACAGCTCGCATTTTTTTTAGAGCGGTCGCCCATTCTCCTCCAGTATATATGACCCTCGCTCACGCGGCCGGCCAACGTAACCGTACCACACGCTTCCCCACAAGCTTAGCTTAGCTTAGCTTGCTTGCACAGTGCGGTCGTCGATCTGATCGACGTACTAGCTAGCTACTAGTCCGTGGCCAATACATAGCAACGCGTATAGCAAGGTCGTCGTCGAGTGGCGGCAGCGGCAGGCCGCCGGCCCGGTGTGGAGGGGTGCGATCGAGACGACGGTGGCTAGCTTGGACGACCATGCATATGCAACAAGGTGGTCCATCCATGGCGGCGGCGACGACGGTTGATCGACTGGTGTTCGCCTTGAACGGGCAGCGGTACGAGGTGGGCGGAGTCGACCCGTCCACTAGGCTGCTGGAGTTCATCCGCACCCAGACGCCCTTCAAGGGCCCCAAGCTCGGCTGCGGCGAAGGTATGTACGGTGCGCGCGTGCTAGGTAGCATAGGTTTTTTCTACAAATGATTGTAACTAATAATGATCAGTACGGTTAGCGCTGACAGGTGCGGATCTTCTCACTGTTTCTCATCTGCTTCTGCTGGATCTGCTTCCGATCGGATAGGACGTCTCATGGGCAGGGGTTAAAAAATCATGTAAACACGCACCGTCAGTTAGATTAATAAACAAGTAAATTTGATTGGACGAATGATAGAAAAGTTATTTACCTGCAGTCTGCAACGGTTTTTTCCTTCAAAAAATTAAATAATAATATATATTAACAGATCTGAAACAAAATTGTACACTCTGCATGTTAGGTGGATGAATATGAAATTGAAGCACTAGTGCCACACTAGTCTAAGGGTGTGTTTGGTACGGCTCCCAAGCCATCTACGAAGCAGTTTTTTTATTGATGAAGCTAACCAAATGGATCGAGGAGGAGCCGCTCTACAGGCGAAGTCCCATGTTTCCTACTCTCTAAAGTGAAAGGCAAGACGGAGAGTTGAAAATACCAGCTTCTCTTGACTCCCTCTTGCTCATATGGTCCCACGTGCTCGGAGAGACAGGATTGATGATGGTGGGCGACAACGTCCATTGGAAGGAGGAGCTCAGGTTGCCACATAATCGCTGCCTAGCGCGGTCACCATCAACGAGGGAGGAGCACGTACAGGTTGTCGGCATCTAAAAGGGGATCTGAAGGGGCCGGGCGTGAGCTCCCCTGCCGAGCACCGTCGTCGGCATTGGGGACGAGGAGCACAGGTCGTGATGGCCTCCATGGAGTGGATGAGCACAGGTCGCGACAGCCTCCATGAGGAGGAGGGGTGGTGTGGAGGTCGGGTGCAGAGATGGGGCGACGCCAGGACCATAAGAGAGATGTGACTGCAAGTGAGAGAGAGAGAAATGAAAGGGTGGAGAAAAAATGAAAAAAAGCCCAATGACAATGGGTCTATGTGTAAGTGAATTTACAAGCAAAAAAATTACAAGGAGCTGTTTTGACAATTGTTCTTATAATAAATGAAGCTGTAGCCAAATAAAAGTTGCTCCATTATAGAAATTGGAACCGGAGCCATTTTAGGGACATTTTGGCAGCGCTCTCAACCCGCTCCCCACTGCTTCAGCTCCCCCGGCTCCCCACTGCTCCCAGCGTTGTTTGGTAGAGCTCCCTCGACGGCTCCCGCTCCAAACTTGCTAGAGGGAAGGCAAGCTGTGGCGCCGCAAGGAGGAGGCAAGCTCACACTACGTGAAAAATGATTTTTAGCAACGGGACAAATTTTGTGTAGGGGCGGCTGGTGATGGAGCCGCCCCTACAGTGGCGTGTTCGAGAGCCACGAGACCAGCCGCCCCTACAAATGGAATAACAGGGGCGGCTGGTGATACGAGCCGCCCCTACAAGTAGGTCGGATTTGTAGGGGCGGCTCAATCACCAGCCGCCCCTGGTATTTCCATTTGTAGGGGCGGCTCAATCACTGAACCGCCCCTCTGTGGCTGCAGCCGCAGCCGTACCCCCATCCGGCCTTCCCCCACCGCATACAGAGCCTTCTCTCCCACCCTCTCCCCTCTCTTCACACACACTCTCCGCTGAGTCCGCCGTCTCGCTCTCGGCCTCCCCAATCCCCCAACCAAACCCCACCGCCTCGCCTGCTTGGAACCCTAGCCAGCCCGGCCCCCCGACCCGTCGCCATGAGGGAGATCCTCCACATCCAGGCGGCGGTCGGGGAACCAGATCGGGGCCAAGTTACAGGAGGTGATGTCTGCGGCGAACACGGCATCGACCACCTGCTGGCAAAATGCGCGGCGACTCCGACCTCCAGCTTGAGCACATCAACGTCTACTACAACAAAGCCCGGTGGCGGATGCTTTCGTCCGCGCGTGCGTCCTCATGGACCTCGAGCCCGGCACCATGGACTCCGTGCGCTCGGGGCCCTTCGGCCAGATCTTCCGCCCGACAACCGTCTTGATCGTCCGTCGCGCGCGCAACAAGCCCAGGCCAAGGGCCACTACACCGAGGGCGCAGAGCTCATCGACTATGTGCTCGGCGTCGTCCGCAAGGAGGCCGAGAACTGCGGCTACCTCCAAGGTATGTCTTGTCTATCGATCTATCCCACGGATCTATGTTTTCGCCCCTTTCCTCTCCGGGGTTATGGAACCTGAGCCCTTCGGATCTAGGGTTTATGAGCCATTGCACTTGCGTTGTGCTGTAGATCGATCGATTTCGCCTAGATCTAAGCGGTTTGTGACATTTTCGATGAATTGACCAGATTTTGTCGTAGAATTCTCGTACCTCTCAGTGGTTGTTGCGCTAGACGCCTGACAGCCTTACTGATCCATTATGATGCATTGTTCTCCCTTAATACTGCAGGGTTCCAGGTCTGCCACTCGCTGGGAGGAGATACTGGTTCAGGAATGGGCACCCTGCTCATCTCCAAGATCAGGGAGGAGTACCCTGACCGCATGATGTTGACATTCTCTGTCTTCCCGTCGCCCAAGGTGTCTGATACTGTCGTGGAGCCCTACAACGCCACGCTCTCAGTTCACCAGCTTGTTGAGAACGCAGATGAGTGCATGGTGCCTTCTGAAATGTGAATACAAGACTTTGCAGTAGTTAAACTCCAGTTTTAGTGAACTCACTGAACGAGTTTTTTCCATGTCCATTGTTGATAGATTGTGCTGATTGAACGAGCTAGTGCCCAACAAATGCATTGAACTAGCTCGCTTCGTTCAGTTTATCCTATAATTGCTCATATAACTTGTTGCTTGGTTTGGTTGGCTTTGGAGCAAACCAAATGGCATCACAAGGATCAATCTAATATTTCCATGTCTTTGTTTTCTTATTTGCTTTACTTGATGCAGATATAGCTAACAGTGAAGGGAACAACAACAGACAGATCTTGTGTTGCAGGTAAAATATGACATACATGTCAGCTAGCTCTTGCTTTGCTGCAGAAACATTTCTTTTCCTGAGTTGACATTCTTGAGTAGATTCATATCACATAATGTTGGCTGAATTATTAGCGTGGGGCGTGCCTGATTATTTTTCCAGTTAGTCCCATAAAGCAAACACTATTGTTGTAAATTTAGGTAATTTGACAGGCATATATCATTTGCTGCTAGCCTTCTCTTAACTGAAAAATCATTCCATTTGTGTAGTGCCAACTCCACTTGGCTCTCGGCCGCCACCATTGGTACGTGATCTCCCAGTTTCGCTCCTCCGATCTTGGCCATGGTGAAGGATGTAGGTTGCATCAGCCAAATCCACAGCAGCGGGCCTCTCAACGGCGGCGGGTCGCTCTCCGACAGCCCACCCGTCTCGCCTGAGATCGACGACACCAAGGTATCTCTTCTTCTCCGCCCCTGCACCACTAGCACGACCATTCTAATTCTTGGTTGTTACCTATAATTAATACCCAATTAGTTCTAGGAACCTGAATGGACGTGTTTGTTTCAGTTTAATATGAGACATTTGGTGTCACAAGACAAGGCACATGGTTTTAATAGTAGCAGCACTTTACCTGATTATTGTTAATTGCTGCTTCCTCTGTGTGTTAGGCACTGCACTTTTTGTTTGGTACTTCTGCTCGGCCCGTTCGGCTGATCAGTTTTCGGATGATTCAATAGTATTCTGTGAGAGAGAATATCCTGCATGCCTGCATCTTTTCTTTTCTTTTTTTGGGATGCTGCATGCCTGTATCAGTCTGATCGCTTCCTGGTTTTCTCAACCACGCAGTCTGTAGGTGCTGGTCATCTGGCTGATGTTTCCTCTGTTTGATGCTCTGTTTGCCTTAGGAAACACAGCACTTGTTTGTTTGCTTCTCTGGTTGTGCATTTGTGCAAGAAACTTGGTCAAAGACAGGTTTAGCAAAGTTGTAGATACAACAAGGATTATTAGCAAAGTGGCTTCCAATCCATGTCTCCGCGAGTTTCACAGATTTGGGCAAAGTGGCTGCATGTCAAAATCATTGGGCTATGCATTGGGGTAGAATTTACAGACAAGACATGTACAGTATATATTCGAATCCATGCCTTTTCCCTTCCCTCTAGCATTTTCCATGCCCCAATGCACATTATCCTCTCTCTTCCTTTCCATACTCTTTCCTATGAGGATGCAGATCTTTGATCCATGAATGGATTTAGATACATCATGTGCACAAGACTTACAGATAGTTCACACGAATATCGTGATTCTCTTCAAAGTGATAGTTTATCTTGCTGGTCAACTCATTAAGATTTAAGAACTGATTATTACATCTTACTGCAGTCTGCAGCATTAGTAGGTGACTTCAACAACTGGAATCCAAATGCTGATGCTATGACCAGAGTATGTCTACAGTCCTGCGATATTCCGTGTTTGCCTTGTAATTGTTGATATATTTCATCTACTGTGTCTATTTGACTTGTTCACACATTCCTTCAAGTTGAGCCTCAAGTTCTCAGATTAACAATATTGTATAAATTCAGTACAATGAATGCACTGATTGTAAAGTATTTTCTATATTCGATTATGTCAGAGTATCTTCACTTGTCTATGATGATCTTTGTTATTTCAAGTTTAGTTTCGATTAATCTGAGTATCTATTCCTTGCAGAGTAAATGGCTTCCTTCACACCTTGCTGCATCTGGAGATTTCTATCTATTGGACAGTCTTTTAAAACATAATGTGGACATAAATGCGCTTGATAAGGTAATTGCTACTGCCTGACTATAAAATAGCTATATGACTTCTTTGTTTTTTAGATCATTATTTTTTATTGGACCTTTTGCTGGTTTCCTTAGGATGGCTTGCCAGCGATTCACAAAGCAATTCTTTCAAAGAAGGCTGCTATTATCAACTATCTCTTAAGGAACTCAGCAAATCCATTCATCCAAGATAAAGTGAGTACAAACCTGGTTTAGCATGCTTGTAAACAGTTTGTACAGAGCCTAACGCAAACAATGTTATCTGGGCCTGTCTTCATTATTTTAGGTTCCTTGATGCCTTGT